TATTTGTTATGATCTTTATATATCATATGTTCTGCACATGCACAGGCATCTAAAGCTGAAATGAAAGCAAAAGTTCTTTAGAGAGTGCTCTACCTAACCTGAGCTGGGAAATATAACTGTGGCTCTCACCTCACCATCAGTTCCATTCCATCTGTACATGTTCCACCAACCTTAGTTGGGTTCTTCAGCAACCAATCTTCCTTGCTACAATCCCTTTGGATCTTCCCCAGATTGTGTGTCATCATTTTTCCAACTTTGGATTGATCATTCAGCACCACCCTCTTCCACTTTGGCTTGGAATGCCTTCTTTAAAAATGTTCCAAATATCCAGTAAGATTCTTGCATCCTGGTGGATACTTAAAGTCTTCTGCCTTGTTCTGAAATGCTGTCTGCCAGAATCCTTTCAAAGTCAGCAGTTGTGTCTCAGGGCATCCTGTTGGGAAAAGGCATGATAAGCATCTGAGCAAGATGCCCACAGTTGAGCTTTGTTGTCACTTTTGACAGCATCAAAACATTGACCTCTGGTTTCTCCACCTCACAGCACATCCCTGGGCCCACAACCATCTATTTCAGTAGGACCAGGGGCAACCACAAATCAATCTTGGCATATTACAGGTGGCAAACATCCTACCTTTTGGTCACCCTCTCACAAAAACAAGAGGGACAGAAGTGGCAGTAAGGGGAACTCTGGGGGAAGAATTGATCATGTTCTACTTGAATTGTTGATTTCAAAAGAAACAAAAGCAGAGTACAGATATGGTTATAGAATCATACACAGGGGAATGATTAATGGTTCCTTTTCAAACTGGGAGGAGGTAACAAGTGGTGTGCCCCAGTGTTGAGTCCTGGGCCGAATATTATTGAACATTTTTATTAACAATCTGGATAAGGGGATACAGGGAATGCTAATCATATTTGCAAATTACACAAAATTGGGTGGAATAGCCAATACACTAAAAAGACAGAAACAACATTTAAAATCATTTGGATAGGCTGGAGCACTGATCTGAAAACAACAGAATGAAATTGAAGTGGGAGAAGTGCGAAGTACTGCACTTAGGAAATAAACCAAACACATTCCCTATGAGTGAGAAGGATCTTGGAATCATTGTAGATCACAAGCTGAATATGAGGCAATAGTTGTTACAAAAATGTGTGGCTACGAAACAGGCTAGTGCTATTTTAGGCTGCGTTAACAGAAGTATAGTCTCCAAATCCCTTGAGGTACTAGTCCCTCTCTGTTCAGCACTGGTTAGGCCCCATACTCAGTTCTGGATACTGCAGTTTAAGATAAATTTTGAGTTTCTAGAACAAGTTCACGAGGGAACAAGGATGATTATGGGAACTGGAAAGCAAGCCCTATGAGGAAAGACAAAAATTGGTTATGTTTAGCCTTGAGAAAAGAAGGCAGAGGGGAGACATGATAGCACTTTTCAAATACTTGATGGATTGTCTTATAGAGGAGGGGCAGGATTTTTTCTGGATTATCCTAGAGTGCAGGACATGTAATAATGGGCTCAAGTTACAAGATGTCAGATTTCACTTGAATATCAGGAAAAAACTTCCTAACTGTTAAGAGGAGTACGGCAGTGGAGGCAGCGAGGGCCCAAACACTGGAAGCATTCAAGAGAAAATTACCGTAGTTTTTGCTCCATAAGACGCACTCCCCCCCCAAAAGATGTGGGGAGGGAAGTCTATGCGTCTTATGGAGCGAAGGCGGCGATTTCGCCCCCAATGGCCCCGTAGGGGGGAGCATCGCAAGGGTCCGAGTGAGCCTTCCAGGACCCTTGCAATGCTCCCCCCACCCCCACAGGGCCAGTGTGGGCGAAATCACCAGCTTCCAGGTGGGGGGAGCGTCGCAA